AGCTACAAAACATTCCCCTCTCCTTGGTCTGTCCTCTTATCACAGCTGGGAACTGAGCTGATGTTCCAGGCAGCAGTAGTGGCAAACTTGGAAAACCACATCATGGATATCTGGCCAGCTCTATGGAGCAACTTCAATCACATCCTAACAGGTCACAAGACCTTCAGGGTGGGGTAGAGAGCATGGCCCAACAGCTGCCAGAAAAACCAGCTCCATCTTGCCCTGGGCACTTCGTCATGGTTGGTCTCTTCTGATGGTTCCTAGGGAAGCGTGGTCTCCACATGGATCCTCGTGGAAAGTGCCTGTGTAGAGCACAGAAATAACCTAGGACTAAACTTTCTCACAATGCTGGAATTGAGAAAATGGAGTACAGTAAAATGTCAGTACAGTTCACTGAGCGGAACTGTGTTTTTCTAGGGAACAAGGCCCAGATGTGTAATCAGCAGTCAGGTCCCTGGTTCCTTGTGCCCCAGAGCTGCTGCCCACCTGCTGTGCAACCCCAGAGGTCTTAAGGCAGCCCAGTCCTGATTCTTCTCTGCTCTTGCTGCCTGCATAATGTACCAAGCCTAGTACATATGATATACTCTATATATCAGAGAAGTTTCTTAGACTCTAAGGACTATGCTGGACCCATGGAAAGTTACAATGTAGCTCTCCCCGCTGTCATGACTGATCTTTTTTCCCCCCAAGACAGGGTTTCTCTATGACTTTGGAGGCTGTCCTAGAACTAGCTCTTGTAGAACAGGCTGGTCTCCAACTCACAGAGACCCATCTGCCTCTGCCTCCCAAGTGCTGGGATTGACCTGGCTGCCATGGCTGATCTTGACAACTTGACTACATATAGAATCAACTAAAGTGGGGGGGGGGGAGATGACATGCCTGTGAGGGATTTTCTTGCTTGGATCATTTGAGGTGGGAAGATCTACCCTAAAACTGGACCAGGTTGCTTGGTGGCAGCCCACTTTAAAGGACATGGAGGAAGGCTGCCTTTGCCTTTTGCCTGCTTGCCCTGACTCTCGCTGTCAAGCTCATCTGTCCTGTTGCTGAGACATTCCTTTGCTGGTATTAGAACTGTCTTCTTAGGGATTAATAGACTGGAGACCAGCAGCTCCTTAGGAGTCCTCTGGGACTCCAGTACAGAATTGAGACTGCCGAGACATCTAGACTCCTGGGATGAACAACTACCAGAACAACAACCTTTGTGTTGGGAGACAGTCATTGTCAACTGTCTGGCCCACAGCCTGTAAACCACTGTTTTAACAGTTCTGTTCATTTAAAGGACCCTGATACACTCTCATACCAGTATTCACTTTAAATACCACCAACAGGAAGACTGTAACAGCACACACAGCAGGTATCTGATACATCTGCCTCTGGGACAAACACATGCCTCTGTTCACAAAGGATCTGCTCCCCACACATGGGGTGCTTGTGGGCAGCAGTCTTGCTTAGCTCCTCTGAGGAGCCTTCTCTGATCAGGAGGGACCAGAGAACCAAGACTGTGATCCCTGGGGCCCTGTAGCTAGAACACCAAGCTTTTATAAAGTCCATAGGTCAATGGCCAGAAGCAGCTTCATGAGCTGGGGCTCTTGGGTAACTGTCCCCTCAAAGAACTGGAAGGCAGTTTGGAAAGCAGCAGCACATTCTTGATTTGGGTGATGGAGGTCTGACTCCAACAGCTGCCTAACAATGAGCTATTTGTTTTGCTCTGTTGCTGTAACCAAATACCAGAGGCTGGTAACTTACTGAAGGAAAAAAAAAGTTTCATTTCGCTAACAACTCCAGGAGTTCAAACATTGTTCACAGCTGTTTGACTTGAGAGAGGGCATCCTGGCTACTTTACTGAAGGATGATGTAGCATCATAGCAGGAGCTTGAGTAAAAGAGATATTGCATAGCAAGGCGAGAAGCCAGAGGAATGCAGGGGCCAGGCTTGTTCTTCTATATAACCCCTACCAAGGTCAGAAATTAATAATCTCCTCCCGTGCCTCTTCTCTCCCTCTCCCCCTCACACACACATATGCTTTATTGCTTTTCAGTTTTATTTTGTGATGTCTGAGTAGGGGTGGTGTAGTTTAAAATTTCCCTTTGCACACTCATAGGAAGAAATCCGAAGAGTGGGAAGCCAGCACCAAATGCTGCTCAAGTGCTTCTGAACAGGGCAAGCAGCCAGTGCAGCAGCCGTGAAGTTGTGTGGGCAGAGAACTCTGTGCAGGAGGGGGCAAACGAGAGGCTCCCAAACATCTACGCCTGAAACTAGATCCTGTGACCATGCAGGTCTCATGGCCAAAGGGACACAAGGACCACGGTAGAAGCTGCCATCAGCTAACCTTCAGGTGATAAGCACCCAGAACTATCTCCAATGGGCCCACTGCCTTCATGACAGGAGTCCTGGGTGGCAAAGAATGAGACAGAAATATCAGTGTTGTGTGATTCCATGTAAGAATGGGATGGCTAGCCATCACTGGTTTCAAAGATTCAGGAAGACACAAGCCATGAGGCAGGTGACCCCAGAAACTACCAAAGAAAACCTACGCCTACTGGCTCAACACTGCTGAGCTCTTTATTTCTCGAAGTGAGGTCCCATCAGATTACTAGCCTCTGAAACAACAAGGTAGTTAGGCGTGGCTGCTTAAATGCCTGAGTTTGCAATGGATTTGTTACAGCAGCAACAGAAAACTCTTACAGTGAATGAAGTCTTAAGTATTGCATGATGTCCCAGAGAAGTGACCTGAAGTGATCTTCAAAATCTGCCCCTCTTCTTAGAGATGGGTGCCAGGCAAGTCTCATGCATCCGTCATATACAGGTTAGGTTTTATTGTGGGGGTATGTACTGTTTACGGATGGACAACAGGAACCAGAGGGTGGTGGAAATGTGAGAATATGCTCAGCCAGAGCTTCAGCCAATTGCACAATAGGAGAGAAGAAACTGCTCAGTCAAGGCTGGGAGCGCAGGTCATGACATGACCTCACGCAGTGTCTGCCCACTGACTCCTGAACCACTACTTTTTTTATATAGCCCAGGTCTACCTGCCTAAGGGTGCCATTGTCCACAGTGACCTGGGTCCTCCCACATCAATCAAGAAAATGCTCCACTAACATGCCCACATGCCAATTCTACAATTGAGATGCTCTCTTCCTAGGTTTCTCTAGTTTGTGTCAAGTTGACAAAAACTGTGAGAGAAGCCAGTAGTAGCAGTCACCTCTGTGGAGTGCTGCTGGGGAATTACAGGAATTATGTGTGCAGATGCACATGGAGGAGACAGTGTAGGCCTTTGCTGAGGACTGGCCTTGCACTAATATCTCCTATCTATTTGCAATTTATCCTCTTCTTAGACCACGGGGTGGAGACCATGCTTATGGTTCAATGCAGGGGTTGGAGGGCCACATCTAGGAAGTGGTGTACCTGGGATTCAGGTGCAGAGCTCAACCTCTTCTACAGGCACACTTGTTGTACTCTGGTCTTGGTCAGCCTGGCCTCAGAATATGACAGGTATCTTTCTGCTTTGGACCCTTCCTGTCTTCTTTTTTATTAGAAACAACTGTCCAGGTACTTCTTCTTGTCCCACCTTCTAGGTCACAAATCTTGAGAAGCATCTCTGACATCCACCCAGGGGTGGACACACTGTCAGCATGTTCCAGAAAGAAAGTGAGGGATCAGGTCTCTCTGGGCTGGAGTCAACCACCCTGAGGTTGATGCTGAAGGCTGTGAAGCTAGTGTACCATTGGCCTCCTGGCCACCTATAGAATGGGAGGGAGTTTGATTTCTGAACATCATTTCCAACCATCATGGCGGAATGTCTAGCTGGCGTTCACAAAGGCTGCAGCCTGCCTGTTGCAACACAAGCAGTTATCTGCTACTAGACAACTATAATAGCTAATCCTTAAAAACAAGATTTGATTTTTAATTAGGTGTATGCACATGTGTCTGTGTATAATAAACACACAGAAGTGCAGGTGTTTGCAGAGGTCAGAAGAGGGTGTCAGAGGCCCCACAGCTGGAGTCACAGGTGCTTGTAAACCATCTGACAAGGTTGCTGGGAACCTAACTCTGGGCCTTTGGCAGAGCAGAACCTGCCCTTTACCACTAAGCCATCTTTCTAGTCCAATGATATTTAATCTTGATTCCCTTTGCTTGGGTTGAAAAGTGCCAAAATTAGTAAAGGACACTTTCTGGGTTTCCAGGAGGGATTTAGGGAAAAGACCCACTCCACCCTGAATGTAGGCTTCACTATGCCATAGTTTGGGGGCCTGGATGGAACAAAAGGGGAAGAAAACACCTGCCAGCATGCACAAATTCCCAATCTGTGTTCTGGCCACCACAAGGTGAGTAGCTATTTAGGATCCTCAACCTTGACATTTTACTCCACATCAGGCCCACAATAGATGGAATCAGCTAGCAAAGGATTGCAACCTTTGAAACCCTGAGCTAAAAGAAATCCTTCAAGTTATTTATGTTGGGTATCATGTCACAAACAGGATGGTGTCTGTCCAATCTGAGTGGTTACTTCCCTGAAGTTGCATTTCCAAGAGAGCTATACCCTCTTAACATTGTGAGACCAACTTCCAGAATCATAAGGCACAGCGTTGTTGGCATCCTGGGACATAGGTACCCAGGATTCAGCTGCACCATGGCAGGGTGATGGGGTCTTGGCTTCTGCTCCCCTCCTTGGGCCTTATAGATCCCTGCAACTTGCCACCCCAAGCACTCATCCATAGAGGGAAAGGTGGAGTGTTCACACATGAAGCTCTCAGGCCCTGAGGTCATCCTCAACTCTGAGTACCTCTGGTGTCTGGAGTCTGACACATAGGGAGACCTGTGTGACTTGAACTTTCTGAAACATGCAGAGGGTCCCAATCATTGGGCCAATTCCAGAGCCCCCAAAGACTGTGTTGAATAAATGTGATACTAGATGCTTTCCCTAAGCACAAAAACTCTTCCTAACCTCTGCCAGGCCAAGGCATGGCTGAGCTTCTCCTGACAGAACAGGCAAGAGCAGCTATGTCCACAGGTCAGAGTTTATTTCATAGCAACTCATTTATAGCATTTTCAAGTACAAGATTCTGTTCAACATCTTCAACACATGAAAACAGAAAAGCACAAGTTGGTAAGGCACCTGCAGAGCAGTGAGGCTCCCCTTTTGGCTTGAGACTTCTGGGTAGCTGCTCACATGTCTGTTGAGCAGAAAATAAAGTTATCAAAAGTTTGCTTGCACACATGATGAGACGACGGTTTTGGAGCCTGCGACAATGTGTTTTTCAGGGGAGTTGGCTTACACTGAGAGTCAAGCTGAAGAGGCATGGCTACACTCACAGCTCACAGAATCCTCCCAAGACACTAAGCTGTGCATTTGCCACTTTTCAGCTTCAAAGAGAACCAACTTTAAATTTCACCCAGGCACATACTTTTAAAGTTTCTCAGCCCAAATCTCTATTTTCAAAAAGTAAAAAATACAGGAAAACCTCAAGTACAGTCAGACCTTATGACTCCATCGAATGTAGTAACATATTGAAAACTTGCAGGTCAGTGGCAACCCACTACATTTGTGTTGTGAACAGTCCAGGGTATTCATCCTAAAAGCAAGTGTCCTAGAATTCAGTCACACAGCATCCTTCATGCCACTTCCCAGTGGCCCAGAGAAGCAGGGCATGAGGCCCAACAGTTCTAGCATAAAACCTCAAGTTTTTGTTCTAAATGCTTATTTCCTTGGTCTCCATTACATTTGCTTTTATTATAACATTTACAATTAAATAACTCACTTGTCCCCATCCACCCTCTGGAGCCCCCACTTGGAGGTGGGCTTTCCAGACAGCCATGCACAGTAGGGTAGTAAGCTCAGTCACTAGGCCAGTTACAAGCATTTCCATAAGTCAAGCAATGTTACCACTCAGGTCACAATGAAACACCTCAGGAAAGCAAGGCTGATGTCACTGGCATTGTGCTGAAGGCTCAGTCACAAACAGTTTGTATATTCTAGTGGTTCAGCAATTAGCCTTTTAATTTTAATAAAGAGAGGTTTAGGTCCTATTTGCCAGCAGGAAGAAGTCTTTGACCAGAAATATGACCTGATATTTTTATTTTATTTTTCTGTAGAAAAACATAAGATTGTTTTTTTAATATAAAAAGACATTCACAGACAGAAAATTTTGTTACCAGGTGGCCACCTTGCTCACAGTAAACCAGAAGCGGTGATTCATTGTCACAGCTTCTGTGCCATTTTGGAAGTACCTACAACACTGTGAAAGAGCTTTCCTAACACAGGGCTGTCACAACGGTCAGCCACAAGACCCTCGTGAGCATGAGCTTCTGACTGACCCCCACCAAGAAGGCAGACATGCTTACCCCGTGATACAGTGCCTCCCTCATCACAGGACCCTGAAGGCACAGCAAAAGTGTGTTCATTCCACTTTTTAAGATGTTCTCAAAAATGTGTAAATGAAGATAAGATTCTATAAAATGATGTCATGCCACCCTAACATCTGCAACCATGCTTCGGTGTGTCTCAAAGTTCCACCAGCAAACCAGTCATCTGTGTATGTGTACACAGATGGATATTTCAACAGACTTAAGGTGTGTGTGTGTCCCACAATCATCAACTATGGCTTCTCTCAAGGAAGGTGCCCACTTCTTGCAAACAGGACAACGTGAGCGTGGCAGCCTAAAGCCCCTAGACAAGAGCTTCCTCTTGCTTTCATCACCAGGACACAGATGGCTCAGCGCACAAGCCAACCCTGAAAGCAAAGAGCACTCTCTCATCTCAACATGAGTTGCTCCCTGAAAAAAAAGTCAGCTCTGCACCTAGCACTTGCCTTCCAAGAGGCATTTCCACCATTTTCATAGCAACTGAACTTGTCATGTGATTTTTAAAAAAAACCAACATAACAAGCAAGTGTACTCTTCAGTTAGCACAATGCCAGGAGCCAGTGGGATGTTTTGGTTGTTTTAAAATCTTAAGCAAGTGAGTCTGAGTAAATGACAAAAGGGATGGGTATGAGGTCTTTAGACAGAAGCATCTCTCTTTTTTCAGAGTTGTGCTCTTACAAAAGCAGGTATGGTTTGTGTGGTTTCAAAGCTGGGATTTACTCTCACCAAGTCTGCTGGTGTACATGTGTCATTCAGTGAGCACTCAGTAGCCCTTAATCAGGAGAGGGTCACGGTCTCCTTTGTCCTGTGTGATGCAGCAGAACTTCATGCTGGTACCTAGCTTTGAAGAGCCCTTTTCATATGAAATATAAATTAATCCAGAGTTCTAAGGCTCTGTTTCCATAGTTATGAAAAAATCTTAACTTCCAAATTTCTCTAACATATTTTGCATATGGATCTTAACCCTAACTTCACAGACAGGAAATTAAGGACAGAAAGGGGTTGCTTTGAGGGCTTGTCCTATGACCACACCCACAAGTCATAAAGAGTTGTTGCAGCTTACACACCAACTGTCTGCAAAGGTCAGGCCAAGCAGCAATACTTTCTCCACCAGGATTTGGACAGGTCCCGCACCTTGTCTGGGGTCCTGCTTTTAGACTTCTTTGGCTGTTGCTGGGAGTCTGAGTGCTGGATGCCAGCAACAATGGCAGCGTCAAACACCTCTTTGAGGTTTTTCTGAGTCAAGGCTGAGCATTCAATATAGGAGACAGCTTTGATCTCCTCAGCACACAGCTTTGCCGCCTCCTCAGGGACTGGCTTCTCTTTGCATTTGTCCAGTTCGATGAGCACTTTGACATCTTCTCTAAGGTCCGACTGTGTCCCAACCAGGATGATGGGGGCCTTCGGGCAATGACACCGAATCTCCGGTACCCACTTCTCACTGACATTCTGGAAGGATGTGGGGCTCACCACACTGAAGCACAGCAGGAAGATGTCCGCGTTGGTGTAGCACAGGGGCCTCAGCTTGTCAAACTCGTCCTGAAACCATACAGTGCAAGCCATTACTTTTTTTTGGTTTTTACGAGTCAGGGTTTCTCTGTATTGTTTTGGAGGCTGTCGGTCCAGCCCGGCCTCGAACTCACAGAGATCCGCCTGCCTCTGCCTCCCGAGTGCTGGGATTAAAGGCGTGCGCCACCACCGCCCGGCACAAGCCATTACTTTTGTTAGCTCTCACCACCTTAGTGAATGACCTTGAGGACCAGGGTAGTCATAGAAAACCTATATTTTTATGAAGGAGCCAGTATCTCAGACTTGCCCCACTGCCTGCCCTAGGGACACAGATGCAGCCTTTCTAAGCTCCGAGGGACAGCACAGCCTTAACACTCCAAATATGTCCTTTGTCTCCTCAGTGATCATGACCAGCATGCCATATGCTACAGAAACCAACTTAAGCAAATGAGTCCTTGCTTTTTCTGGCCTTTAGCCCATAGTGATCCCAACTCTCTCTCTCTTTTTTTTTTTTTAAACTCTTCGAACTTGACTATCTGAAGGCCAGTACTCATCTATGCTGGTACCCAAGAGCTGACCTGGTAAAATCTGGTCTATTAATGGAACTCCCCTCTGAGATCCAGCCCTGCTCTGCCTGACCACAGCTATGCAGGATGCCAATTCCTTCTGCCAGCCCTAGTATACACAGTGTAGAACCATGATCCTTAGAAACAAGAAAGACAGAAACGAAACTGAGGATCTGTGTAGGCCATTATCAGTAGCAGTTTGAAGAACTGGTACCCTCACTGTCACCCACAGACACTAGCAATACAGCCTTGTCCTGGCTGTATCTTCTCTTACTTCCCTTTCTCTTACTTTTGTTCCTTCTTTCATCTCTGCAAATGGCTGAGCTCCCACACAGTGCTTCATACAGATAGTATAGTACAGAATGAGCACAGTTGTCCCTGGGTATAGACACCTAGAGCAGGTAAATGAACACAGATGGCCTGCAGATTCTCCAGACACCAGACACAGCAGGCATGAGCCAGGCATCCATGCTAGCATCTCCTGCCAAACATCTTATAGAACCCTACAACACCATTTCCTGTTCACAGGAAACTCCAGCTCGGCCTCACCCCAGGAAAGTTTCACATCAGCTCACTCTTATCTGAAATGTGTCTGTGGGCGCTGACATCTTCCAGCATCTGACACCGATGACTTCCCAAGGCAGGAAGGAGTCAAATGCTTTCAGTGTTTTCCATTACTCAGTTGGTGGGTTCTGATCACCCTATTTACAGGCACATTATTCTCCAGCTATGGCTGTCTTGCTGGGGTCTCTATTGCTGTGATAAACATCAGGACCAAAAACAATGCAGGGAGGAAAGGGTTTATTTGACTTTACAGCCTGCAGTCCATCATGCAGGAAAAACAGGGCAGGAACTGAGGCAGAGGTCATGGAGTGCTGATTACTGACTTGCTTAGCCTGTTTTCTTGTAGCACACAGGACCATCAGCCCAGGTGTGTAACCTCGCACAGCGAGCAGGGACTTCCCACATCCATCACTAAGAGAATACACCACAGCCTGCCCACAGGCCAATCTGTCAGAGATATGGACTAGTTACTTTTCTGCTGCTGTGGCAAAACACCATGACCAAGGCAACTATAAAAAATCAATTGAAAAATAGTCATTTAATTGGGCTTATGGTTTCAGAGGGCTAGCTAGAGTCCATGATGGCAGAGCAAAGGCATGGTGGCAGGAATGGCTAAGAGCTCATATCTTGATCCACAAGCAGGAAGCGGAGGGAGCACACTGAGTGGCACCAGTCTTTTGAAACCTCAGTGTGTGGGGGAGGTGGGGGGTGGAGGCAAAGACACTTCCTCTGGGAAGGCACGCCTTCTAATTCTCCCCAAACACGTCCACCAATGGGAACCAAGTATTCAAACAAATACACCTATGGGGGGGGGAGACAAAGGGGCTTTCTTATTCAAAGCACTGCACGGCATTTTCTCAGTCGAGGTTTCCTCTACCCAAATGACTCTGGACTGTTTCCAGTTGACATAAAACAGCCAGCACAGGCTGCTTTCTCGGGTTTAAGGGAACCAACATTAGTCTTATTTGTATTAGATGCTCTTGGTCTGAGGGTCTATTTCCACTGGTGGGTCAATAACCGAGTGGCCGTATAAGTCAACAATTAATGAGCTCAAGGGAGAACCCAGAAGCTTGGGGTGTCTATGCCTCAGGATGAGGTCCATGTTATTTATTTAAAAAATGGTAAGGAGTCACACCATGCAACAGGGCTCACATGGGAGGTTTATTGGAAGAGGAGAGAGAAGGGGCAGAAAAGGGGACAGAGACTGGTCCCTGGAGACAAGAATGCAGGAAGAGATGTGAGGTGGGCAAGGCCTGCCTTTTATAAGGGAATGTAGCGTATGTGCACAAGGGCTGCTCTTAGTGGCTGCAGCTCAGGACATATCCTGTCGGCACCCTAAGGGCAGGCCAGTACAGATGCCTGAATACTAACAGCCCCTACATAAGAAAGCTGAGAAAGAATGGCTTCAGTTTCTCACTGCCAGCTTCATGCTGAAAGAACAAATGTAGAAACATAAACCAGGTAACTGGGCTAGCTCAGGGGACTTTTCCATGAGCTGCTCCTTCTTTTCTGGGCTTTGAGAAAGGAATATAAACCTGACCAGCTCTGGCCATGCTGGGGGTGAGACATGCAGGGAGAAAGCAGCCACCTTGGCCACATCCTGAAGCTCATCGTGACTTAGAGCACTGCTCTCCAAACCTCTGAGATTCTGGCTAAGGAACTAGAAAGGTGAAACAGAAACAGACCCCTGTACCGTGTGGACCAGAAACCTTTGAGATGTGCTGTAGAGATGCAGCCAGAGCACACCATCAAACACACACCCAAGGCTAGGCTATAAATACGTCTTTGCCAGCCTGAAGTATGAACTCCACAGAGAATGTTAAGGGCAGGACAGACATAGACAGACAGGACTGTAGATTCCTTCTAGCTGTGCCCTGTTTTTCCCTCTTTTTAGCATGAAGGTTTTTTTTTTCCAAATACACTATGGGTCAGGCGGAGAAGGCAGCAAAGCACCCTTCCTTCAGCAACACTATCTGCTCCCAGGCTACGTTTCTTACAGCCACCTATCCATCTCTACTCTATTTGCACGTGAGACTATGAGTCCAATGTCAAATGCTTACCATTGTCCCTGACAGGGACTGAAAGGGAGCAGAAGTGAATTCTGGGTATGTTTGTGACAAGTGGAGCCATGCAGGAGTTCCGGCTCATTTAACAACCAGGAATACCCACGCTCATGCCCAGTGACCTGGGTAACCTCTTAAACTCATGGTCTCTTTTTTTCTTTAATTATTATTGTTGAATATACACACATGCAAATAAACATGCAAATGCAGCCTACTGAGTCCATTTGATATTGCTTTTAAACAGGACCTCACTGTATAGTGAGGCCCAGGCTAGCCTTGAACTCACAGTTCAAGGGATACAGGGTAGTCCAGGCAGACCTAAAACTTGTGATCTTCTTGCCTCTGTGTCCCAATTACTGGGATTACAGGTCTGAACCATTACTCTCAGTTCATTCCCTGACTTTTAGGAGATGATACTAAGGAAGCAGTTAACTCCTTTTTAGAAATACTAAGTGGATTTTAAAAACATATCCATCCCCTCTCAAAACAACCCACAGGGCAAGGCTTTCTTTCCCCCATACTGTGTTGTTTTCCTTGTGAGCTCCTGAGAATTGGTCTATGGACTACAGGTCTACAGCAGGCAAGCCTACAGCTCTATGGACACTGACATCTTACACTTTGTGGTTCATGCACTAAACCACATGGAACTCTGAGGTGTGCCAGACCCCAACTCAGGACTCATCTCCCAAGGAAATTCCACCTCCTTCAGAAGTCAAGATGGCAGGTAGAGACATCCGAGGGGTGGTGCAGTGATTCCTGAACCAACATCCTAGCAGATCCTCACTGTGGCTGACGATGTCTGTGCCTTGGGGCTCACATTTCCTGCCTCCGTCTGGTCCTCAGGGTGCCTATAGCCACTACACACTTCTGTCCATGCGCTGCAGATGGAAAAACCCAACCTTCTCACTTTGTGTAAAAGAACTCAGAGGACATGAAAAAAGAGGAAAGACATAAGAAGGCTGTGTCTTGGGCACTTTTTCCTTTAGTTTGTATGTTTTTAAAAGGCAGGGTCTCACTTAGGCTAGACTGGCATCAAATACCCTATGTAGCAAATGACTTTGAACTTCTGAACCTCCTGTCTTCACCTCTCAAGTGCTGAGATTACAGGTGTGTAAATACCACACCTGTCATTTTTGTTTCTGAGATGGTGTCTTATACCCAGGCTGGCCTCATACTCACTATATAACCCAGGCTGACTTTGAGTGTGTGGCTATCCTTCTGATGCAGCTTCCTGAAAGCTGGGACTCCAGGCATGAACAACTATGCCTGGATTTTGATGTTTCTTTCCCACACAATGAACACACTGGTAGGGTTTAGCTTCTCTAACTCCATTGCTGCAGCTATCACTATGATGCTCCATTAAGATAGCCTGGTCTTCTGTCTCCTTGAGGGCTAAGGAATAAACTAGATCCGAGTCCCAAGTCTGCTATCTTAGAGTGGTGAGTAACCCCAAGGCTCTGGTTTGGATGAGAACTGGGGAACATAGGCAGGCCAGCTTCTTCATAAGCATGGGTAGTCAGAAAAGTAAAGCGGACACTTGTAACCCCTGCCCCAGACATCACGGGGAGACAAGCTTACCGTCACTTGGGCATCTAAGTACTCACAAGCACCACATGACCTCAGTGACTAGGACAGCTGCTGGGGTAGGTTAACCTAGGCCCCAAAACTCTTCTGGAGGCCACTGAGGGGACTTTACACCCATGCCCTCTGCATCACTGCCTGTCTTTCTCTTCTGGTGCTCTGTCCTCAAGACAAGAATGACCAAAGAGAGTAGCCCTTCCTTTCCTGCTCCAACTTAGGATGTCTCTGACCACCATGCCTCTGTTCTAGAATTGGGGAAGAGAGATGCTAATATTCACTAACACAAACTACAGTTTTTCCTTGAACAAACTTTTAAGTATCTGGCTTATTAGCTTGGAATCAAGTAATTACAAAATATGAGGGGCTTACTCTGAGAAATGATTACAAACCATAACTGTGGTTTTTCTTTTTTAGCAAAAGCCAGAAAGTGAGAGGCATCAGAAAGTCCTGTGATGATAAGGGCAGTTTCTGCCCAGAACAGGCAGGCCCTGTTTGACTGGCCCCGGGGTCCTTCTTGGCCTCCTCGCTTCCTCCCACTGTCTGAAAAGGAGCTGAAGCAGGGGTGGGCCTGCTTCCCCAGGTTTCACAAGGACTAAGGGAGTCATGTGGAAATGGCAAAGGTTGTTTGGAAACCTTTAAAAGGCTGTTTCCTTTCCCAGGGCTGAGCTGTGTAACTTGATACTGACCTGTCCTGCAGTGTCACAGAGCTGGAGTCTCACAGGCCGCCCATCCACCGACACCACAGCTTGGGGAGAAAAAAAAGAGCAAGAGTGATTATCTTTCACTCTTCTGAAGATGGGCAGCTGCTCTCTTGGTCCCTCTTAGTGAACTAAGGGCTTAGCTAAACCCAGAAGCCCACAGAGGTGTTTTTAAGTACAAATGTTCCAAGGTGGGGGCTCCCTCCACCACAGAGCATGAGGCAGCAAAGCCCTGACCCCTGGAAGGTGCCCCGGAAGGCTAGTGTTTTCCTCTCAAGTCTGGAAGATTAATTTCCCTGTCACCCATGTTTCAAAGGACATAGAAACAACACAAGGTGGAGGGATTAGGTGGGAACCAACTCTGTAGTTTTAAATCGGTGGAAACCCTCACAGATAATTCTGTTTTCTCTAGGGAAAAAGTCTCCAGACTTCAGGGTTTATCACAAAACTCCAGCAGTTTTGAGAACTTGTGCAAACACAGGCGGCCTATCACCCTGTGTGTGGAAAAGGGCACTCCCCTCTGTCAGTTCAAAAAGAGGATTAAAAAGAAAAGCTGGCGGGGGAAGTCACACACAGGTTTCCACCAGGCTCTAGAGATGGGGTGAGAGCAAGGACGCCCTCCAGGAAACTCAAGGAGGTTTCAGTTTAAATTAGACAATTTGTCTCTTTCTGATAGTCTTTCTGGTTGTTTATAAATGTTTATGCTAGTGGGGAGTGGAGTTGGGGGGGGGCGTTATCCCTGCACTTCTGTTTTATCCATGGGGTTTCTGAATAGAGACAATCAGGGTCTGGGTCATAAAGACTGGAGGTCAGAGGTAAAATTTTTAGGGGCAAGATTTTCACACTAGTTTCTGTGATTAAAAAAAAAGCAAAATAAAAAACAAAAACAACTTTCTCTTAAATTCCAAAAAGACTTAAAAAAATCAAGATAAAGGATTGCTTTGCTTTTGTATCTTTGTATGATACAAGAGCCCACCCGTGAGAACTTGCTGCAGCTAACGACAGGCTGGAAGGACTGGGCCAACCGAGACAGCGCAGGCGGGGCTGGGGCCAGAAGGCGCCGGGCTCAGAAGAAAGGAACGTTCTCGCAAGCCCAAGCCTTCCCCGGTGCGCCTGGCCGGTTCTCCCACGGAGTAATCTTGGTTGCTCCAGGCGGCGACCCCCTGGAACGGAGCAGCCACGAAGGAGGGCACAGGTGGGAAGGGCACCTGTGCAACAGCTCGTTCCTGAATCCCCGAGCCGGGTGGATCGCACACACCGCCGCCGCCCCGCTGTGCCGCTGCCTGGGGTTCCGCGCCGCCCCACGCTCCCGGGCCGGGTTCCCGCTCCTCCCAGCCCGAGGCCGCGCCCCGCTCCGCGCTCACCCGAGAAGTTATCGAAGGCCGTGGGGATGTACTCGGTGGGGTAGCCGTTGGTGGTATAGCTGACCACCAGGCTGGTCTTGCCCACCGCGCCGTCGCCGACCAGCACGCACTTGACGCCGCGCCCCTCGGCGCCGCCCGTGCGTCCCCAGCCCCCGGGCACCCCGGGCCCGCGCGACCCGCGCCCCCCGCGCTCCCGGCGAGGCGGTACGGGCGGTGCCGCCGGCGGCTCGCAACGGGCGGGCAACGAGGGCCGGCCTTGCTGCGGAGCCATCTCGGGCGGCGGCCGCGAGACCAGCTGCCACCGGCGGACAAAGGCGGCGCGAGGTCCGCACTCTGCTGGGCGACTGTGCCCGCGCGGCCGCGATGTGGCCGAGCCTGCTCCGCCGGGCTTCCCTGCGACACGGGCGGGCGGGGAAAGAGGCGGGTCCGGCGGCGCCTGCTTCAATCCGAGTCCACAGCGCCCCCGTCTGCGCGCCGCGCCTGTGTACTACGCCGGCGTCTCGAAACAGTACGGCTGGCTGATCTGGCCCCGCCACACCAACCCACGCGGACCCCGAGCTATCCCTGCCCCCTGCTATGGGTCCTCATCTTTCCCATCCCTCCGGTCTCCTTCCAGCTCTCTCAGCTTCGCTTCCTCCCCTTGATCCTCCAGTTTCCCCAGCCCTGCCACCCCACTCTTGCTATGTTGCCCCATCTCTCCGGGTCCTTTCTTCTTCCTCTGCTCCTTCTCTCTTCTCCAGTCGCCCACTATTCTTTTTTCTTCTCCACAACCTCCTTCTTGCCCAGATCTCGTCTCCCTGTTCCCGCAGCTTTCCTTGCTCCTCCACATAAGTGCCTTGGTTTGGGGGCTGTAGGCCCTGACTGTCCAGTCCCCCAGGAGAGGCACATGTCCTGGCAGTTTGTCCTCTTGATGAGCAGGACTTAAGTCTGATTACCGACAACTACATGATTTTTCTTTTAAAATTGTTGGTTCTCATTTAGGTACAGGATATCCCTCCTCCTTTGCTAGTGCTCCCTCTTTTTGGCATGCCTGTGTCCTTGTATGTACTCATGGTCCAGCAAATTTCCTTACAGTCTTTAGTTAAGTCCAATTTGGCCACATTAGTATTCTCTAAAAAACAGTCTGTTTATCTTTCACCCTCCTTTTTCTGCCCTTTCTGTGCCTGGCCAGGGCACTAACGATCCTGTTGCTTCTGGTGTAAGAAGAGCCTTATGCAGTTAACATTAATATTATTTTTGCCATTAGTAAAGACAAGAGCTAGAAAACATTGAGCCTTGTGTCAGATTCTGTTGTAATCACTCTGCCAAAACTAATTCCTTCCATATTGTAGTCAGGACAACCTGAGATACAGAGGCATTGGATGACATGTTTGAGTTCCATATAGGAAATGATGGTGCCAGGATCCTCACTAGTATCCTATATGCAAATTTAGGCAGTACAGCAAGTGAGATTTGCAAAGATGGTGTGGCCACAGGAATACAGAAGTGGATTTGCCAAAAGGTGAGTTCTTTTTTGTTTATGTTGTTGCTTTTGTTTTGAGACAGAGTTTCTCTGTAGCTTTGGAGCCTGTCTTGGAGCTTTCTCTGTAGATTAGGCTAGCCTTGAACCCACAGAGATCTGCCTGTCTTTGCCTGGAGAGTGCTGGAATCACCACCTGACTAAGAGGTGAGTTCTTTAATCCAGGATCCTGGCTAGCAGAGAGCATCATGCAAAGCCTCAGTACTATCAGGCCCTAAAACTGCAATGCAAGCTATTTTCAGAACTGAGATATGGAACCCTAGGACCTTTTCTAAAATGACCTTAAAAGCCCGGGAATCAAAAATCTCCCATACAGAATCTGAAGAGTAAGAACAGGGCATCTTGGAACTAGATTAGAAGCCCGGGACGCTGTCTCTTGCAGCAGTATGGACCAGAGAAGCTAAAAGACTGGAAACCCCCAGGTTAAGAGACCAATCAGTCCTCTTTTGCCCTGTGTCCTTGGGCCACCTGAATTGCTCTGTTTTGGCAATTCAAGTAGACAGATTAAAGTGTGTCTTCTGTCTCCCTATGGCTAACACTACATTAATACTTTATTTTTGCAAAACTTTTGTTGTAATATTGGCTTTTCTTGTGTGTTTAACTGCAAGCTCTTGCTTGGTATTACTGTGAGGCCTGACAATGATACTATGTTTCTGTAAATGTTCCAAAATGTTTATACTTTAAGCATTGTGGGTTAAATCCATTATCCATTTTACTCTAACTTCCCATCTTATGGAGTGGCCTTGAAGTAGCTGTGAACATTTTGGAAAGCAAGCCAAGTAAAATTAGGCTGGAGAGACATTTTGTTTGTGTTTAATGAGACATAGAGCCAAGAGGAGAGAGATAAAGGAGGTGGCATGGGAGCACTTACTACTGGGGTCATCGAAAGCCAAGAGCCCATGCTGCTGGCATGAACCTGAGCCTCTCCTGCTGGTATGGAGTATACTTCATGTCTCTTGTGATTCAGACACTAGTCACACAGGTGTGGGAACAATGGTCAAGGCTGAAATTTTCCCCCTTTGTGGGAGTCCTGCCAGCTCCACCTTTCCTTGGCACTGAAGGATACAGAAGCAAAGAGCTGCTGGGCTTGAGCTAAATGGAGCTGGGAACCCTACGGGTGCAGCGCTTTACAGTAAAACGGACACAACAAAACACCAATCAATCCACAGGCGGGCGGGCTTGGCCAGCTCAGCCCTGTCTGGTCAAAGTGTCAGAAATGTTATCTGAAGGCAGGGGATACAGTTGTTAAGTGTTGATCTGAATCCCAGTGTTGGTAAGGTAGCAAGTCTGTAGTTAGCCCACAAAGCACAGATTCCATATGTAACTCTACTCTTCCTATAGGAAATGTATCTCAAACTTGAAGGAGTCAGAGAGTTGGTAACTAAAATGTTTGGGAAAAGGAGTAAGTAGCATAAAGTGTCAAACCAGTAAGTCCAATAGGAATACTACATTTTCTTACAACTTTGTTGAAGCTTACAGCACTCGTTAGCTTTTAAAATATGTTACTTATTTTGATGCATTTCTTTAAATACTTAATGTTGTGTTTGACTTATTGTTCCTAATAGACCTGGCTGGCCTCAAACTCAGAGATCCACCTGCCTCTGCCTTCTGAGCGCGGGCACTAAAGGCATGCACCACCATGCCCAGCCGAGAATTTTAGTTCTTAAGTTCTGATATCCACAGAGCCCTCTTGCCCAATTCTGAACATCCTTCCTGGCTGCAAAGTCCCCTTATGACATCTTTATGAAACTGAATTGCACATGTGCAACTGCTCTTTCATGGAGAACTAGGCTTCTCTGAGCTGCTAGTACCCAGGCTGATGGTTGTTTTCTATGAAGAGACATGTTTCCTCATGTCCTAGGATACAACCAATACCAGTCCTTGGTCCCCCTTTCCATTGAGATGCTGAAGAGTAAATGGAAGAAATGATCAACATTTTTTTGCAAGAGAAGATGGGAAAATCATATAAATGACTCCAAGCTGTTGTCAGGGCATCCACTAGGGTCTTGTGCAAAATCACAGCTGCCAGTATCATGGGAAAGGATTCCAACACAGAGCCCAGTTTGTGAGCACTGGCTCCTTACCTCCAGATAGCCTATTTTTACCCACCACCACCTTGTTGATAGTTAGAATTAATGAATTTAGAACTCTCATTAGAACCATAAAATTCTAAGTATAAAAATCAATCATTAATCTTGACTGGCAGGCAGTATTTCTGAAAGGAAAATATTTGTATCATTTTTACTAGTTGGGTAGATGTGCTATATTGTAGCAATAAGCCCAAAAGCTCATTGTCTAGTTATTTTTTTTTTGGTAGTGCAAAATCCCACAGTAGCTCTGTAATATAGCATCCTTCTATATGGTGACTTGGGGATCCATCCTGTTCATATCTGTGAATGTCCCTTGGTGATCAATGCATTTCTGTGCCTTTATAAATACATGTAACAGTGAAATAAGCTAAATATCCAAAACAGTAAAATGCATATAGTAGCTATAAAACATGTGTTACAGTATTCAATCAAGGAAGTGACTGATAGGGCTGGGGAGACAGCTTAGTGAATTAATGTGCTTACCACTCAAGTATGAGACTCTGAGTTCAAATCTTTGGACCCATACAAAAGCCAGATGTGCCAGTGGACACCTGTAACCTCAGTAATACATGGGTAGAGACAGGCAGATCGCTGAAACTCATTGGCCAGTCAGTCGTGCTGAATCACTGAGGTTCATGTTCAGCAATAAATCTTGTCTCAAAAAATAAATGTGGAAAGCAATCCAGGAAATACACTCTATATGAATTTCTAGCTTCCAAACACAGGAGCACACATGTGCATATACCCACACTAACAGATTCACACACCATCACATACACACACACACACACACACACACACACACCTCACAAAGAAAATGAGTGAGCAAACAAGAATGAATCTTACTGAATCATAACCACCAAGTTGAGGAGTGAAAGAAGCCAGGCAGAGAAAACTATGAGCTGCCTGACTAGAGTGTGTGAAGATCAGAAATGAGAGAAACCAAACAATGCTGGATGCTGGCATGGTTGAGGGAAATTGTCACATCCAGAATGGAGGTGGTCAGGAGATTCTAATCTGGATGATGACTTCACCACTGGTCTTCATAGTAACTCACGTGTTTTATTTACTTCTGTAAGCCACATAATATTTCAAAATTGTAGTGGTTAGAAATATTCAAACATGTAAATCATACTAATTAGGGCTTTGTGGAGAGTTGTTTGCTTAGACCAGCACGGAGTGACTCACACATTGTACATTCCATCGATTAAACAACACTCTTATCGTAAAAGTTTAATGTGATTTGAGTAACCAAAATCCTACCGGCTCAACACTATCCCAGGAACACATATCAGAAAGTTCTACTATACATTATTTACATATCTAATATTTATTTTAATATGGGCATCGTCTTCTACAAGTGTTATTTTAGGTGTTTGATATTTCAAACCAACCAAACTGGTTCTGCAAGATTATTACAAAAAAGTAAATAGCAATTCATACACGTGATTTCCGGCAGAAAAATGAAAGCACTGGGGAGGGTTTGGAAGGACATGGGGTACATTGCCAGAGGAAACATGCTGGGCTCCTGCTAACTGCAACTCATGCTGAGCAAGCAAGGTATCCAGTCACCCAAGTAGCACCTTTCCTTCCTCAGTTTTGCTCTTTAAATCCCTGCTCTGGGTTCTTCCAGCTGTTGCAGCTCATCTGTTTACCCCACACAAGAGAGAAAGGCTAGTTCCATTCCCTATGTCCATCCACAGTGTCCCTGGGTGGGGTCAGGGGGCACCCAGCTGTCTGACTCCCTCCACAAAAGAGCCCGTCTTCCAGACCTTCATCACAACTGATAGGGTTCCAACTCCTAAACACTATAGAAACTCTCAGGCAAACACTTTCCAACTGCCAAGTCCTCAAGGATGATAAGAACTCTTTAGAAACTTCTCCTAGTTATTGCAAAACCTTGACCTCCTTTTGCTTTGCAGTCACTGCGAAGATAAGAGCAGATCAGTCAGCGATTCCCGGCAACCATGATTGTGGGCCAGAAGTTCTGAGACTCAGACTGTCCCACCTCCCCCAGAACTGCAGCCTGGCTGTCCCCAGCAAAACACTCCTACAGATGATGGAAATGGAGGAACACCAAAGGACTATCAGACATCAGACATAAACTAGAGGCAAGCAATGCAATTCTTTTAGTAACAGTACTTTTTGTTTTGTTTTTCAAGACAGGGTTTCTCTGTGTAGCTTTGCAGACCAGGCTGGCCTCAAATTCATAGAGATTCTCCTGCCTCTGCCTCCCAAGTATTGGAATTAAAGGCATGCATCACTGTTGCCTGGCTAGTAACAATACTTTTTAAAGCCTTTAAAAATTATAGTTGCAGCCTGAGTGTGTAGCACACAGATTCATGAGTACAGTATGAAATATACTGAACAGCACAGCAGACCACCCCAGTCCATGTCAGTGAATGTCTCTGTGAACAAAGGCTGTGCTTAACGTTGCAGGAAATGGTAGTATGCCTACACATCTAAAGTAAGTAGAAACTTTGACTCACTGTAGGGGAGTTTCAGAATCAACACTCAATGGCCATAGAGTTTCTTTACAAAATTTTAAAATAAAAATATTTATTTTATTTTTAATTATGTATACATGTGTGGATATATTCATGTGAATGCTGGTGCCCTTGAAGGCCACAAGTGAAGGATCCAGAGTCAAAGTTGTGAGATACCTGACATGGATGCTGGGAGTAAAACCCAGGTCCTCAAGCCAGGTCTAGTGTTGACACCTTTAATCCCAGCACTCGGGAGGCACAGGCAGGCGGATCTCTGTGAGTCTGAGACCAGCCTGGTCTACAGAGCGAGTTCTAGGACAGTCAAGACTACACAGAGAAACCTTGTCTCAAAAAACAAAAAACCAAACAAACTCAGTCCTCTGCAAGAGTATCCCCTCTTAACATGTGAGCTATCTATTTCAAACTCTTTATTTTTTATTTATTATTGTATGTATATGCTGTGTATGTGGGCAGGGGAACATGTATAGAGGTCAGAGGACAACTACTTTTACTTTTGTATAGGTTCTAGGGCTCAAACTCAAGTTGTCAGTCATGTGTGGCAGGTCCCTTTTGTATCAAGCTTTTTTGTTGGCCATCAGCTCACAAATAATAACATGGAGATTTATTAATTATTAAACCTTGGGCTTTGCTTAGGCTTGTTCCTAACTAGCTCTTATAACTTAAATTAAGCCATTTATATTAACTTACATTCTGCCACATGGCTTGTGGCTGTTACCTCTCTTCCTGCACATCCTTTTCTTTTTTTTTTTTAGGTTAGAAAGAATCTTGTTTCACATGTCAATCCCAGATCCCTCTCCTTCCTTTCTTCCCCCTCCCCTCCCTACCCAGTCCCCCACCCAATCTCCAGTCTGATCCCCAAGGAGGATGAGGCACTCCATGGTGGATCTCCAGTACCTGTCATTTCATCCAGGGCAGGGCCTAGGCCCTCCCCCCAAGAGTCCCGGCTGAGAGAGCCTCCCATATTGTGGCATGGGCACTCAAAGGCTATTTGTACACCAGGGATAAATACTACCCCATAGATTACCTAGGCTTCCTCACTGATACCCACATTCAGAGGGTCTGGGTTAGTCCCATGCTTTCCACACAGCCATTAATCTGGGGTCCAAGAGCTCCCCCCTTTTCAGGTCAGCTGTTTCTGTGGGCTAAACCAGCCCACTCTTAACTCCTTTGCCCATCGGTTCTCTCTTTCTGACACTGGATTCCAGGAGTTCAGTTCAGTGTTTGTTTGTGGGTATCTGCCTATGCTTTCATCATTTGCTGGATTAAGGTTCTGTTTCCTAGACTCTCTGGCAGTGGGATTGTATGCTGGCACTCCCCTGATTCATGTCTAAAATCCATAAATGAGTGAGTACATACCATGTTTCTCTTTTTGTGACTGGGTTACCTCACTCACTATGGCTTCTTCTAGTGCCTTCCATTTGCCTGCAAATTTCAAGATTCCATTGTTTTTTTTTCTGCTGAATAGCACTCCATTGTGTAAATGTACCACATTTTCTCTATCTACTCTTCAGTTGGGGGGCATCAAGGTTGCTTCCAGGTTCTGGCTATTACAAATAATGCTGCTATGAACATAGTGGAACAGACATCCTTGTTGTATTAATGTGCATCTTTTGGGTAGATGCCTAAGAGTGGAATTGCTGGGTCATGTGGTAGACTGATTCCCATTTTCATGAGGAATCTCCATACTGATTTCCAAAGTGGCTGTACAAGTGTTCCCCTTTCTCCACATCATCTCCAGCATAAACTGTCGTTGGAGTTTTTTATTTTAGCCATTCTGACACTTCCTGCACATACTGCTTGTTCTCCTGACATCTCCACCTTTCTTCCTCCAAGAATCCTTTATGTCCCTAGAAATTCTGCCTAATCTCTTCCTGCTAGGTATTGGCCATTTAGCTCTTTATTAAGCCAATCAGAAGGTCTTGACAAAAACACATCTTCACAGTGTAAACAAATATTCTGCAATACCCTTTAGTCATTAAACACTATCTCCAGCCCAGCATATAGTTTCCAGGATATAGTCTTGACTAGCAGGACTGAGTTATAGCAATTTGCTTATAGCATTGTAACTATGGTTAATGTAATGTGTTGGGTATTTGAAAACCACTGTTTTAGTTAGGGTTTTTATTTGCTGTGAAGAAACACCATGACCACAGTTACTCTTATAAAGGAAAACATTTAATTGGGGCTGAATTATAGTTCAGAAGTTTAGTTCATTATTTTCATGGCAGGAAGCATGGTAGCATGTAGGCAGACATGGTGGTGGAGAAGTAGCTGGGAGTTTTACATCCAGATTCAAAGGCAGCAGGAAGAGAATGTGAGACAATGGGCCTGGCTTGAGCTTCTGAAACCTCAAATCCCACCCCCTTCCTCCTATGAGGACACACTTCATCCTATAAGGCCACACCTACTCCAGCAAGGTCACACCTCCAGTAATGTACTCCCTGTGAGTACATGGGGGTCATTTTCATTCAAACCACCACAACCATTGAGATTTGATTCTAAATTTTACACACACACACACACACACACGTCAAGCATGGTGAGTCACACTTGTAATTCCAGAACTCATGAGGCTGAGACAAGTGGTTTTTTTGAGTTTGAGGTCAGCCTGGATTATGTAAAAAATTCACGACCAGCCTGGGCTTTATTGTGGTAACCATTTCACATGTGTACATATCAAGATATCATTTTATAGACTATAACATTCTGTCAGTTACACCTTAATAAAGCTAGTGGTGGGTGAGGAAAAGGGAATTCTTTTAAATTTACCATGGGTTTTTCTTTCTTCTCAGGTAGCAGGAGGAACTTCACTGGCTCCCCCAGTCAATAGAATCTTTTGGGCACCACTTCATCCCCTGGGATGTGGCAGCAAGTACACAATCTCTTCATCACGGAGCTGGCATTTGGAGATGGCATTTGGCACACACACAAATGGATAGTGCTGGGGAAGGCACCATCACACATCAGCCACCCTAGGGTGATGATATGGAGTTAGGCTGCCCTGCATGCTTGGGAAGGAGCATCCAACTAGCGGAAGAGTAAGAGCCACCACTTGACAGCAGGGACTGTCCACCTGGTCCTGTGACATTAGAGGGAGAGAAGCCACGCAGAGAACAAACAGGTAAGTGGGTACAGGTCATGATTATGATGGGGTCATTTCAACACAGGCCTGGAAACCTTTGGAACAGACCTGAGATGTAGCATGGGGTGACTTGAGTTGCTGATAGGAGACTGTTGGGAACAAGGGCAAGAAGAAGCCAGGCCTTAGGACCTGCCTTGAAGGTAGAGCAAGCAAGATCCTCCTGGCGCCTTGGGTCTTGGATTTGCACACGCGCAGGAGTGGTAAGGACAACCCCAAAGACAGTGGTCTGGTAAACTGAAGCAGCTGGCATCTGAGACAAGGAAGATGCCAGCAACAACAGTTTGCCGGGGCAATTCACAACTTGCCTTGTACATTCAAAGTCCAGTTGTCAGTGAGATACTTGATTGGGTATGTTGACCACACAGCTTCCACAGGAGTCTGGAGTCCAGAGGAGACTTGGTGTAAATTAAGAGTTTCTTTAGCTGATCAACAAACACGGAGAAAGGGAATGAATGCCCAGAGAAGAGAGACTGAGAACTGTACTCCATGCTAAATAAGAGGACCGACATTTGAAAAGCTAAGACTCATTGAGCATGGCCAGATATCAGACACTGAATAGGCAAACATGAAAAAAATTCCAGTCAAGGACTCCACTGTACAGGGCTACCAGCCCTAACACCCAACGCCCATTTGCAGTCAGTTGGAGCAATTGCTGTCTCCTGTGCTCATAATGTGGCCAGCAATAAACCTGTTACAGCACTGGTGCGGCCCTACTATAAGAGAACAGCACCGCCTATCTCGCCACTGATTGCTTCACAATCTGGGCTTGGCAAGGAACAGAACAATGCCCATGGGAACAGAAAGTGTGGGCGCCTGTGAGCGAGTCGTCAGCATCCAGTCCAAGCTAATCACCTGGGTTCTTCCTGTATCCACGTGCCTGCTGGACTTGGACATTGCCCTTGACTGAGCCAGTCAGCAGACCTGCTGGAGCTGGCTCTGCCTGACACAGCCCTGCTCTCCAAGCTCACTAGACTGGAAGCACAGCTGATGGGATGCATAAAATGTCAGTCAGTTCACAGCTTTTGACTGGTAATGAAACTCCATCCAGATATCTTGTTTCTTCCTTAAGGAAGAAAATATCTTCCTGGATTCTGGAATTACAAAGGAAGCTTAGACTTACATATGAAGCTTTTAGACTCTTAGACTGAAAAAAAAAGCCTAGTGGTGCCTTTAATCTTAGCACTTAGGAGGCAGAGCTGGGTAGATAGTCAGGGATACACAGAGAAACCTTAGAAACATTGTCTCAAGAAAACAAACAGAGGGGGAGAGAGAGAGAGAGAGAGAGAGAGAGAGAGAGAGAGAGAGAGAGAGAGAGAGAGAGAGAGAGAGAGAGAGAGAGAGAGAGAGAGAGAGAGAGAGAGAGAGAGAGAGAGAGAGAGAGAGAGAGAGAGAGGACACCCACTGTGGGGTGCTCGGTGCCATTTCTAGTCACCTCCTTGAATGCTTGTGTAATCTGACGTAGTCTGAGAAAGGATCCCGGAGAAATGGTTGTGTGGGATTCTATCTCAATATTCAGCTTTCATGAGTGTGTAGCTTAGGAACAGACATGATATTCACAAAGGAAGATAACCCAGACAAAGGACTCGTGTGTCTGTCTAAGCTCGACTTTAGCACTTGACATGCCCTACTGTGTGCTCGTGAGTGGCACAGAACCATGCTGGCCTTCCTCTTTGTCCCGTCCCTCTCAGACCCTGAATAAAGTTCTCAAACGACCGTCTGGATTCACCGATGCTGGTGGGTCCAAGCACAAGAGCTGTATTAAACTATGAAGAGTTCAGACTATTACAGAGGCGGTTATCTCAATAAAGTACCTGCCTCTGATAAGATTCTTTGATAAGGGCTGGAGAGATGGCTCAGTGGTTAAGAGCAGAGGACCCAGGTTCAATTCTTAGCATCCACATGATGGCTAACAACTGTGTGTACCTCCAGTTCCAGAAGACAGTGCTCCCTTCTGGCTTTACCTACACCAGGCACACATGTGGTTCACAAACATGCATGCAAAAAAACCCTCTCTCATACATATAAGGGAAATGAGTTAACATTTTTGAAAGAGTCTTTCAGAAAAGTTGATGCTCAGCTTTTTCCTGAGCTGATGCCCGCAAGAATGACTCCAGTTTAAATCTCAGAGAGAGGCTCTGACACAGTGCCCCCTTGTGGGGGACTTTCATAATGATGAGGTTTGCAGTAAGCGGTAGACCTGGTTTCTGGCCTCTCCAGGTGGAATTGAGGTACATCTAAGAATCTGCACTGAAGTTACACCAACAGACCACACAGTCCCAGAGGACAGGAGAAGTCATTTTGCCTGTGGGGACAGTTACAGATGAGTGATTTGTGCCACGATTTTCTTGCCTGTGTCCTCACAAAGAGTTTTGTGCAGCTCGGCAGCAGGAGACAGGCTGGCTGGAAGGTTGTTGCAGCAACCACAGGGCAAACTACAGCGCCCTTCCAAACTGGGTACATCACACATGTATTTCTGGCTGTGTAGAGATCTGAAATCTCTGTTCTGAACTGCTCTGGGGTAAACCATGCTCTGTGTCAGGGGCCTGTCCCTCCAGTGTTGAGTGCGGTCTGATGGCAGATCCTGGCCCAGCCCTAGAGATGGGCAGCCTGGGCCTTCTCATCCTTGGAGGGAAGCATGAAAATGAGGTCATTCTGTCAAAGGAAAGCTGGAATGTTCACCTGAGTAGAAGATGAAGCCATTGTTTTCTTCTTAGCATCTCCTCCTGATAGATTTCAGGCTGTGCTTGAAGGAAGAAAAAAAACAAAAAACCCAAACAAATAAACAAAAGCACAAAAGAGTCTCAATAATTACATTGGGAAAAGTGAATTTTTTTTTTAGTTTGGTTTTTGAGACAGGATTTTCTGTGTAGCTTTCAAGCCTGTCCTGGCACTTGATCTGTAGACCAGGCTGGCCTCAAACTCACAGAGATCCACCTGCCTCTGCTGGGATTAAAGGCATGCACCACGACCTGGTGGAAGAGTGAAATTTTAAAATGAATAATTTGAACTGATCTCTAGCAATCTAGAGTATAAATACATGTGTAAAATATGAACACAGACAGCTCTGGAGTCACCTGACACGTACTTACCACTCATCAACCTTATGATGCCACCACACGACGTTCTGGCAGTTGACAAAGCCCGTGTGTCTTACAGAGAAAGTATACCCCATGAAATCAAAAGTCAGGAGCTGGTGAGGAAGTCAAGTCTTGTGAGGGAGCCACCAGAGGGCGCTCCCTCTGACTGTCCAAATGGCTGCCAGCTCGTGACTGTGCAGAGTCTTGTCTGATACAGTTGGAACTTAACATGTAGAATGCCTTAGTGAACTAATATAATGAGAAATGACAGAAAAGTCAAATAGATAAGGAAAAAAGTATTATCCAGTGTACATTGGATGAAGTGTGGGGAAAAAAAAATCTCCAGGAGGCGGATAATGCACTTCTCAAAGCTAAAAATTATAAATCTCAAAGAAGTTGCTTCTAGCCTGAATCACACCAAATAATGGGAAAGGACGACTCTTTCAAAGCGGTGACGAGATGATGTGCACTAAGAGCTCAGCAGCTATGGGAGGCTTTAACACAGCACCCAGAACATGGCAAGTCAGTGAGCTGACAACAAATGGAGAGCTAAACAACAGCATCTAAAGACCCCACTGGGCTGAAAATACTTCTCAAGAAAATAAAAGCAAAAGCTAATAGGACAAAAATGACAGGGATTGTTCAGGAAATTACTAATCAAGTTACAAGGAAAATCTCAACAGAAATATTACAACCAAAAGTCTTTGCTCATGGTGTAATAAACCTGGAAATTATTAACAACTAAAAGGAATAGCCAGAGGCTGGAGAGGTGGATCGGTGGGTAAGAGTATTTACTGCTCTTCTGAAGAACCGGAGTTCAGCTCCCAGCACCCACTTCAGGCAGCTCCTAACCTTTGATGGCTGCCTTCAGAAGACCCAGCATCCTCTTCCGGTCTCCTCAGGCACTACACTCACATGCACACACACGCACAGACGAACACACATACAGGTAATTAAAAGTAACAATAAAATATTAAAAACAAACATGCATAAATGTTAACAGTAGAAATGTAAAGGTCCCTACTAAGGACTGATGACCAAAAGAGGAAGTATAGGTTAAAGTTAAAAAAACATCTCTGTAACACAGTGATAGTGAAAACACAGCAGCAGGACGGGCCAGATGCAGTTGATAACAGTGGTCATTGTAAATACTCTTCATAGTTGGATACTGGGAGTGTCACCGGGAGGGGACTTTGAGGTTTCAAAAGCCCATGCCAGGCCCAGTGTGTCTGTGTTCCCGTTGCCTGTGGATCAGGTTGGAAGCTCTCAGCTCCTGCTCCAGGGCTGTGTGCATCTGCTTCCTGCCCTGATGACCATGGACTAGCCACCTGAACTTATACAAGCCCCTAACTACATGCTTTCTTTGATAAGACTTGCCTTGGTCATGCTGTCTCTTCGCAGCAATGGAACAGTGACTAAGACAGTGAGTGTGCATGTGTTACAATGGTTAATATTATGTTTAAGATTGAAGACTGCTGTATTTAAGAGATTCATGAGAAAATTGTTTTAACTTGTAGGTTTCTAGCTTCTAAAATGTACCCTGTCATCTAACTTGCCCAAGATGGATGGCTTCCAAGATTATTTGGGCTATTCTTGAAACTGCCCAGTCCTGTAAGTTTCTGACTGCCTCTGCTCTTCTTTAAGATAATAGCTTACAAGGCTAACCACTGGTCTGCTTCTGCAGGAAAATGTTTGCTTGCTCATTTCTGAGGCATCTATAGGACATCTGTTATAAAAGTTATGCTCTTTAGCCAGGCATGGTGGCGCACACCTTTAATCCCAGCACTCCAGAGGCAGAGGCAGGCGGATCTCTGTGAGTTCTAGGATGGCCTGGTCTACAAAGTGAGTTCCAGGACAGCCAGAGTTATTGCACAGAAAAACTCTGCCTTGAAAAACAAAAACAAACAAACAAAAAAAAGTTAAGCTCTGCCTATATGTAGGCAGGGTATGTGTTAACTTGACCCCAAAAAACTAACAAGAGCTCAGGGGTCATCCCTGGAGAATCCCAAGTCTCAGATGTGGACCTGGTGCCAGAAACAAAAAGCCTCCTCTTTGTTAATATTATTCCTGCTCAGGTTGATGAGTCTTAAAGGAGTGTGCCACCGCAGCCTGGCCCAAGAGTATTACTTCTAGAATTAGAAGTAATTAGAAACAGCCACCTGAAAGTTCTTCTGGAAGCATAAGCAATGCAGTTAAACAAAAAGGGGGAAGCAACAGACACAAAGCTAAGGAATGCAAAGAGGCTAAACCATTTGACAAGATCATAGATTTGCAAAATTCTAAATAGCAAATAATAAAACTGACTCAAGCAATAAAACAATTCAGCAAGCCAACAGTCTGTATGCCACAATAAATAAACATGTAAACAGCTTCCGCACACAGAAACAACAGCCAGCTAGTCAGTAAAACCATAGAAAAAAATCCATTTGTCGCAGCAACAGAAAAGATAAACTATCCCAGAGTAAATGAAATCCAGAAACATATAAAACCACTATGAGGAAAACACTTTAAAAACTCCTCAAAAGAGTTAAAGTGGAATGTGGAGGATGATGTCATTCGTCTTTACATAAGAGGACTGGCAGCATAAAGATGTAGTTCTCCCCAAGGTACTTTGTTAATGAGGCTTTTGTTTATTTTGTTTGGTTTTGTTTTTTGTAGGGGGAGGGGTTTTGATTTTGATTTTTTGGTTTTGGTAAGACAATCCCAATGGAAATGCCAACAAAGCTTATTGTTTTTTGGAGCTAGACAAGTTTATGCTAAACCATGCAGAAAAAGTAAATATGCAAGAACAGACAGGACACTGAAAAACTACATGAGAAACTAGCTGTGACAAATATTAAAGTATAGTTCATAGTCCCTTGAATTAGAACAATATATCTCTGACACACTCACAGACTGATCATAGGAAAGAACCTATTTAGGGAGTAGGCTCTATGCAGTTAGGGCGCAGGCCCTATGGACATTCACTGGAGCTCCTGTCAGTGGAGAAAAAACCCAGTTTTTCAATAAACAGTGCTGAGGCAACCAAATAATCGTTTCGAAAAAGATAAAGTTAGATTCTGATGTTATAGTATATACAAGAATAACTTCTCAATAAATCAGGAGACGCAGGGACAAGAAAAGAAAATGCTTTTAATCTCTTTACTCTGTGTATAGGTGAAAATATTAAGTAACCTTAGGATGCAATATTTGGGATATGTGCCCTAGATTAAAGTAAGAATGGTGTTCTAGGGGCAGGGCAGACGGCAGACGGCTCAGTTGTTCAGAGCGCCGGCTGTTCTTCCAGTGTCCTGGTTCAATTTCCAGCAAATACATGTTAGCTCATGACCATCTGTAATGGAAGCTGATTATCTCTTCTGGCTTGCATAAAGACTGAGCACTCATATACATAGAATACATAAGTAAGTAAATCATGAAAAAGAATGGCTTTCTAACCAGGAGTAGTGGTGTGTGCATGTGCAAGCCCAGCACCCAGACAACTAAAGTATAAGGTGATGGGGAATGTCCTTCTGTACGTGTGTTTCTCTTACTGGTTGGTGAGTAAAACACTGGCCAATAGCCAATAGAGGCAGGAAGATAGGCGGGACTAGGAGATGAGGAGAATTCTGGGAAAGGTAGGCAGAGGGATACTGCAAAAGACGCCATGTAGAGACTGGGAGGATAGGACTCCCCAGGTGTTCTCTGGTAAGATCAGACCATGTAGAAATACATAGATTAGTAGTTATGGGTTAATAATTAAGACAGACTAGCCATTAAGAAGCCCTAGCCAATGGTCAACAGTTGAATAATATAGCATCCATGTGCTTATGTGGGGCTGAAGAGTGGCGACAAGGCCTGGCAGGACAAGAAGAAACTGCAGCTACACTAAGGGTTGCTGTGAGTTCAAGGCCAGCTTGGGCTATATAGTAAGGCTCTGTCTCAGAATTAAAAAAATCTATTTTATGTGTATGGGTGGTTTGTCTGAATATATGTCTGTACACCACATGCATATCTGGTAGCTAGAAGGAGGGCATTGGATTCCCTGGAACTAGAGTCCACCATGTGGGTACTGAAAAGTCAAACCCAGCTCCTCTGGTAGATCACTTGTGGTGGCTCACAACTGCTCATAACTCCAGCTTCAGACAATTTGATGCCCTCTTCTGGTCTTCAGTATCCATGTCTCTCTCTCTCTCTCTCTCTCTCTCTCTCTCTCTCTCTCTCTCTCTCTCTCTCTCTCTCTCTCTCACACACACACACACACAATTTTTTAAATATATAAACTTTTAAAATTTAAATGAGATGTAATTAGAAAGAAAGAAAGACAGAAAGACAAAAAAAAAAAGAAAACTAGGTCTAGAGAGATAGCTTTGTGGCTAAGAGTACTTGCTATGGTTCATGAGTACCCAAATTCAGTTCCTAGCATCTCATGGTTTGCAGCTGACCTAAGCCTCAGTTCCAGGGGGTCAGATGCCTTCTTCTGACCATTGAAGGCATCAAGCATATACATGGCACATATACACACATGAAAACACCCACACATACAAGAAATAAATTCTAATAAAATTTTAAATAAAGTATATAGTATAAATTAAAACTTAAATGTGGAACTAGAATAATCAAAGCACCATTTTAAAATGTGAAAATACAGGTCTAGGGAGATGGCTCAGCAGTTAGCAGCCTATGGTCATGGAAACCTGTGACCCCAGTGCTGGGCCAGAGGAGGGGACTGAGACAGGAGGATGGCTGGGGTTTACTGGCCACCAGCCTAGCTCAAGGTTCAGTGAGAGACCTAGTCTCAAGAGAATAGGGTAGAGAGTGGCAGAACAGGATGCTCGATGTCCTTCTCTGGCCTCTGTGTGCACACATAGGTATACAAAATCACGTTTATTCAATATGCACACACACAATATAGGAATCTTTTAAAGTCTGAAAGAGTAGCCAGGCTGAGCTACAACAGACTTGTAACTCCTGAGATAGGAAAATGGGGAATTTGAGGCCAACTTAGGAAACATAGTAAGACTCCATGGTGATTTCTCAGACAGAAAGATGGGCTGATGGCGTGAGGACAATCCACACAGCATACAAATGGGTGTGCAACGTACTCAGCACGAGAGACATGCAAACTGGAAGCTGCACTGAGAGACACAGAGGAGTGGACAAAACCCACTCGGTGAAAAATAAACAAATGCCAATCAAATGGAAACCAGGCTGGGCAGTGGTGGCACACGCCTTTGAACTCAGGAGACAGAGGCAGGCAGATCGCTGAGTTTGAAACCAGCTTAGTCTATAGAGTGAGTTTCAGGACAGCCAGGGCTACATATAACCATATCTCAAAGGAAAGAAAGAGAAAAAAAAGAAAGAAAGAAGGGAAAAAAGAAGAGAAAAGAAAACCAGATAACTAAACCATAGTAAGATGTCAGAATTGGTACTAGAAAAAGATGAAAAGAACAAATCACTGACTTACCAGGAAGATAAGCCAGTGCACCCCAAAAAGTATCCCAAAACACAAAAGAAACCAGGTTGTTCATGGCACAAGGGAGGTTTAGGCAGGAGGATCATCAGGAGACGATATATCCTACATAGTAAGTTCCAGGCCAACCTGGTTACAGGGTGAGACTGTATCAAAGAGGGAGGTGGAGAGAAATCAGAAGAGGGGTGAGAGAAAGAGAGGGGAGAGTGAGAGAGGGGGAGACACATATCTAAAAGGGAAACTCGGCACTCCCTCATTCTGTTTGGGCATCTCAACACTTTTCTTTCAGCAGCTGATGGACAAGCAGAGAGAGTCAGCAGATGTAGAAAACCCCAGGATGTCATGGCCACAGCCACTGATTGACAGGTGGGGAACATTCTACTCTACAGAAGAATACATTTGCTTCAAGTACACATTAAATATTCAACAAGATTGATCGTATTCGGGACCGTGATATAAACTGGGACAGGTTTGCAAGGATTAAACGCATACAAAGCATGTGCACTCTTTAACCATAACAAAATTGTATTTAAAATCAATAACAGAAAAATGTTGGGAAAACCTAGACATTGGATTATCTGAAAATTTGAAAATTAAATAACCCATTTATAAATCAAAGCACCATAAGTCTAAATATCAAACATACCAGAAAAGCAAGCTGAGTGTAGTGGCATGCACCTACAATCCTAGCACTTGGGAGGTAGAGGCAGAAGAATTAGAGAGAAGAGGTCATCTTTTACTACTTACTAAGCTTGGTGCCGGGTTAGATTACATGAAGTCCTTTCTCAAAAACCTTAGCAGGCGTTGATGAAAAAAAAAAAACCAGACTGGTCGGTGGTGGCTCATACCTTTAATCCCAGCACTCAGGAGGCAGAGGCAGGCAGATTTCTTTAAATTCAAGGTCAGCCCGGTCTACGGAGTGAGTTCCAGGACAGCCAAGGCTGTTTGTTACACAAAGAAACCCTGTTTAAAAATAAAATAAAATAAAATAATCAGGCTAGGTGCATGCCTTTAGTCCAGCATTTGGGGGACAGAAACAATTGGACCTCAGAGTGGAAAGCCAACCTATATAGTTGGATTTTCCTTTATGGGACCGCCAGCCCGCAAATGATGACAGAGACTCCTGTATTATATTTTCCATCCTTACATGGCTTATTTTTGTATATTATTTTACTTTTTAAAAGACTATTTTATTATTTTAAACTCTTTTTATGACTGTATATATTCATTTTCTTTTCTTTCTTTATCATCTTAGTACATTTTTGAGCATACTATATCTGTTCAGAGGTTTTTCTCAGTCTGGACCTGACTTTCTGTATGTCTGCAGCGTTTTTCTGACTGCTTGAGCCAAGTCATGCCATCTGCCAAGTGGCTCTCTATGCTGATGGCTGACTCCGCCCAACTCAGGTCCATGAGAGCTGAGCCTTACACCTGTAGGCTCCGGCCAGGTGCTGCATTTAACCAGGAGCTGCGTTTAACCAGGAGCTGAGTTTAACCAGGAGCTGAGTTTAACTACCCCTGTTCTGGGAAGTCGGTGGGCCACACTGCAGCAGGCACTTTATTTAGAATGCTGTTTTTACTCAGTGCTCTGGCTGCTTAAGTGTTCTCTCTACAGCAGGGCATCTTAAAGGGCCATGCCTCTGTATGCCACAGGCACTGAGTTACTAGGAAGCCATGTCCTTTTTTTATCCCAGGTTTCTCAAGTCTTATGTGGAAATATGTGCCCCATTTTTTCCTAGTTAGCTTTTCCCCAACTAGCTCTTATAACTAAAATTAACCTGCTTTTATTAATCTGTGTTCTGCCACATGGCTTGGTTACCCACGGCACATCCGACTTGCTCCGAGTCTTCCTTTTTTCTTCCCAGAGTTCTCTCTCCCCCTGGAAGTCCTGCCTAACCTCTCCTGCCAGCTACTGGCTGTTCAGCTGTTTTATTACACCGATCACAATAGCACATCTTCACACAGTGTACAACTATCCCACAATAGTTCCTTGTGGTGGTTTGAATAAACATAGTCCCCATATGCTCTCATGTATTTGAATGCTTAGTTGTCAGAGAGTGGCACTACTTGAGAAAGAATGGGACCTGTGACTTTGTTAAAGGAACTGTGTCACTGGGGGTGGGCTTCCAGTTTTCAAAAGCCCAAGCCAGGCCCAGTGTCTCTCTTCCTGCTTCTTGTGTATCTAGATGTAGAATTTTCTGCTATCTTCCCAGTACCACGATAATGGACCAGACCTCTGAAACTGTAAGCAAGCTCCAATCAAATGCCTTCTTTCATAAGAGTTGCCATGGTCATGGTGTTTCTTCACATGAAGAGAACACTGACTAAGATAGAAGATTATACCAGGAGTGGAGTATTGCTGTGACAGGCTTGACTATGAGCTTGGTGGTGGAATGTGGACTTTGGGATTTGGGGCTAAAAAAGCAGTTGAGTGTTTTAAGTGGGGTTTAATGGGCAATACTATTAGGATCTTTTTATTGTCTCTACAGTGTCTTGAAACTGAAGCATAAATAATTATTATGTCTTTATACCCAACATGCAGGGCAAAGGGCAGATGCCTGTCCTAACCCTACAGCTCAGAAGCACAGGCCTCTGCATCTCTATGGCCAGAGTTGAGCTGGTTAGGACTTGCTGCATCCATTCCAGCTGTTGAGCACAGCTGTGCATGAGGTAACTGTCTCTCACTGAAACATCAACGAATTTGATGCTCTGCAAAAAGAAAGATCTGGGTGTGGAGAGATGGAAAAGCACTAAATTACAAATTTTGAGATCTGGTCCTGGAGCTGCCTAGAGTTATGATCTTATCTAGGCCAACTTTCTAGCACAGACGCTCTTTCTGAAGGACTTTGAACCTTGATGAGCAAATGTCTACTTTCAGCCCTTAGCTGCTGTTACTCTAATCTTTAATTTCACTCATCTGACAATCATTAAGGGGATTTCTTTTATCTGAGAGAAGGGAGGTGGAATGAGAAAAGGAAATGAGAGGTGGGTGTGATCTAAGTATGTTACACGCATGCATGGAAATGTCATAATAAAACCCTGTTGTGAAATATTATTTTAAGACATGTTACGCTTTTATGCTATGGAACATTTGTTTAATGATGAAAAGATGCATTGCATTCTTTTATGTTACATTTGCTTAACTCTGTGAAACTGAGTTACTTTGCCTGTCTAAAACACCCGCTTGGTCTAATAAAGAGCTGAACAGTCAATAGCTTGGCAGGAAATGATAAATGGAGGAGAAATCTGAGAAAGATCCAGCCACCCAGCTATACAGCAAGCCATGGAGTAAGAAGTAAAGGAAGGCATACAGAAATAGAGAAAGGGAAAAGCCCAGAGGCAAAAAGACTGATGGGATAATTTAAGTTAAGAAAACCTGGCAAGAAGTAAACCAAGCTAAGGCCAGGCATTTGAAAGAAAGAATTAGCCTCTGAGTGCATTTATTTGGGAGCTGGGTGGCTGACCCCCAGAAGAATAAAAAGAGACAAAGAGTAAAAACAGCCAACTACAAACCCAATGTTTTTGCAATTAATAAAAACTAAGACAGATATTGTGGCATACCAGTTTAATTGCAGTAGTTGAGGGGCAGAGAGGGGTTGATCCCTGTGAGTTCCAGGCTAGTCAGGACTACATAATAAGACACTTCCTCAAATAATATAGAATACAACAAATAAAAATAGTTCTAGAGTAACTGCTCAGTAGTAAAAGTGTTTAACTCACAGACTTGAGGACATGGGTTCAGTCTCCAAGACCCATGTAAATAGTCAGGCATAGAAGAGTGTATTTGTTATTCCAGAACTGTGGAGGCTGAGATAGCAGGATCCCTGGACTCACTGGCTGGTCAGCCTGGTGTACTTGGCAAGTTCCAGACCAATAAGAAATATTATATCAAAAAACAAGTTGGCAGTGACTGGGGAACACCCAAAGTTGTCCTTTAGCTTCTACATGCTCTTGCATACAGGTACACACACACACACACACACACACACACACACACACACACACACACACACACACACACACACACACACACCTGGATATATATCTCCAGTTTGAGGAGAACCTGAGCCTTATGAGACCATGTCTCAAAAAATGCTAAATTTTACCTTTGGCTTAATAGTTAATTTTAACTTTAAAAATCACCACTGTGCTTGCTCAATGTGGCTTATCCTATAAACCCAGCGTTTGGGAGGTGGAGGCAGGAGGCTTAGGAGTTTAGGAGTATCTTTACCTACTCAACACTAGGTGGGCTACCTGAGTCTGTCTGAAACAAGCAAGCAAACACCTTGGTTCAGCTTCATAGTTATCAACCAGTTAAAAATGAGTTGCTAATGTCAAGTCAGGACAGAATTTTTATTTGTCTATTTGCTTTTGTATTTTGGTTTGAGGAAGGGTTTCTTTGTAGCTTTCATGCCTGCACCAGAATTCTCTCTGTAGACCAGGCTGTCCTTGAACTCACAGAGATCCACCTGCCTCTGCCTCCCAAGTGCTGGGATTAAAGGTGTGTGCCACCATCACCTAGCAGGACAGAATTTAGAATTTGAGCTGAGTACCAAATTTTGAACGAGAGTCTCCAGCATCTTCCTCCAGCTATACGTTAAGTCGATTGACTCCTAAGAACCAGACAGAATGCTAAGGTGCATTAGCATCTGAAAACAACAGTGTGTCAGACAGACCAGAGAGGAGTGTCACCCACTGTGTGGTGGGGAGATCACAGGAGCTCATGATCCCATGTGCAGCCACCCTGGGCCTCCATGCTGAGGAGCAAGTAGGGCCCACATGGTTTGGGAGCTTCTGCTGAACATGTGCTGCCAAGTTGTCTGTAAATCTACCCTCTGTGAATTAACGTGTGTAAGGTCTTTTGAGAGTTTGACAGGTCACCAGAGCTCTTCATGGAAAACTTTCACAATAACCCCCTTATAGAAATACCTAGTTGCTAATTGCTTTGTTTCTGAGGTTTCCTTAAGCCAAAGCATATCCACAGATACTGTAAAGGCTGATTCTGGAATCACCAGAAAATGAAAAGCTAAGAAAGGCTGGAGAAGCAATGCCTTCCACACAAGACACCAGAGGCCCACTTCCAAATAGGTCCCTCTTTCCTCCAACAGAAACTTTTATTACTGTGAATGTTCAGAAACAAACCTTCATACCAGTGTAAGAGGTCAGGGTGGGAGAAGGAGCCACGGGATGGAATTCTGTTCTCTTGGTGGCACAGACCTGGGTTCTTCCCATGTGGAGTTTATGGCCTTCCGGAATACTTGATCCTTAAGAATGGCAGACCACAAATGTGGCATGGTGGCAGGCACCTGTAATCCCAGCACCTAGGAGGGGAAGGCAAGAGGGTCAAGAGTTTAAGATATTCCTTGGCTACACAGGGAGGCCAAGAGTAGCCTGGGCTACATGTGAGCCTGTCTCCAGAAAGCAAACATCTCGATATACCACTGCTTGAGAACACTTACTTTCCAACAGGTGCCAGTTTGTGCCAGTGTGGGTTAGCATGGGTTTTTAAGATCACTTGTGTCACTGGGATTGGATTTAGCACAGATTTTCTTCTCTAGATGTCTTTGCAAAGAGCTTCAATCATTTCAGATGGAGTTCGAGTCACTTCAAACACGACACTGTCAAATTCAGCTTGTGGAGGGTTGAACCTTGGGCTCAGGGATGTTCTTTATTGTGCAGTGAGGAGAGGGGTGGAGAAAAAGGCAAGAAGGTCTATGATATTTTCACCATATCTGGAGGAGGAAGGCAGGGCGTAATAGAAACAGAGGACAACAGGAGATCCAGTGTACACTGAGGTGGGAGGACCTTGAGTTTGAGGACAGCCTGGACCACATAGAGATCTTGAGGGGGAAAA